TCTTCAAGAATTCTCACAGAGATTCTCAGAGTGTTGACTCTCTGTGTTATAGAGAGTAGTTATACAGGCTTCTTTTCTCTCTTTTCTCTTTTCTTTTATAAGAAATTGAAAGACTCTTCAGTCAATCTCTTTATAATACTCAGTCTGAGCATTTTATAAAGCTTTTCTATCTTCTCTAGTCTCTGTGTATCTGTCATTCTGATCTTCTTAATATAGTCTGATCTGTGAGAGAATCTGTCTGCTGAGTTCTTAGTTCTCTTAATATGTTCTATCTTGAATCAGAACTCACTCAGTCTCTGAGCTCAGTAAATCTGTTACTGTAAGAGTTTCTTAATTGAAGTAAACTGTTATAAGCTGTTATGATCAGTTCTAATAGTAATTACTGTTATAAGACTCTCAAAGTAGTAATACTAGTAGTGAAAAAATTTCACTATTGTGAGACACTTCTGATTATAAATATCATAATTAATCTCTGCAGGTTGCATCTTCTATGAGAAAAAGATCACTGAAACTCAGTTCTCATTTAACTATAGTTATAAGACTATTTCTGAAATTATAAAGAAGAAGATATCTGTCTTTAATCTGATTAAGAGTAAGAGATTAAAGTGAAACAGTATTACTATATCTATAAATGTCTATTTCAATCTTGTAAAGATCTTACAAGCTTCTGAAGTAAGAAAGTTATTACAGTTCTCTCTTCTTAACAATCTTTTCATTCTTTATTTACAGAATGACTTCTTCTTATTTTCACTCTTCAGCATGTCTGTAAGAGTTAAGAAGATTCTTATGAATATAAAGATAAACTATCTATAGAAATTCACAAAGCTCAGAAAGATCTGAATCTTATAAATACTAGTTAACTTTAATTATAATAGAATAGTCTTAACTTATGAAGATTTTATCTGAATTTCATCTGCAGTGATTATATATTCTAGGAAATTAATCTGATAGATACTGAAGTTATACTTTATAAGCTTAATATACAGTTCTGTCTCATCTAAGGCCTTTAACACACTTCACACATGCTCAGTGTGTTCTTTCTTCTTTGTAAAGTACATTATTACATCATTCAGATATATTATCATGAAGATATTCAGATATATTTAAAGTATTTTATTAATAAAAGACTGAAATACTGCAGAGATATTAGTCAGATCAAAAGACATCACTAGATATTTAAACAATCTCAGTGTAGTTCTAAAGACAGTCTTTTATTCATTCTCAGACTGTATTCACAGTTATGTATATACATTGATTACATTCAGTTATGTAAATATGACAGCTCTTATAAAATAATTAATCACATTCTCAATCAGAGATAGAGAATTACAGCTCTTTATTATCTTAGAGTTCAGGTTGTAGTAGTCTATACATAATCTGAGATCTTCATTCTTCTTCTTCACAAATATCACAGAGACTCTCACAGAGGTCTGTGAAGATTAAATAAAGTCATTCTTCAGATTCTTCTTCACATAGGCCTGCAAGGCCTCTGTCTTATAATGAGAGAGCTTATAGATTGATTCTTAGAAGAGTTTCTACTCTTCTATCAAATCTATTATCAGATTCTTCTCACAGTGAGAAGAAAGCTCAGCTGTCTTTACTGAGCTGAATATCTCTGTGAGATCTCAGTATTTCTCTGATATCTGAAGCTCAGTTTCTATAACTGTGAGATTCTCAGATACTTATAAAGTTATTATATAGATGAGCTTATCTTCTCTAACTAACTCTGCAGTATTAACTGATTCTATCTCTGTAAGTAAGTCTGTTAAGACTGATCAGAAGTATAAATCTGACTCATGAACAGCTATATACAGATTGTGTCTTTAAAGTTATATAAGTCTTAAGTAGATATTATCTGTGATGTCTGTGATGATCACAGTTTCTGCAAATCTTCTTCAGATTTCAGAGAGATCTTGCAATTCAAAGATGACTCTTACAAGTTTCTCAGCTCTCAGATCTGAGTTCTCACACTCTGCTTATTATAAGAGCAGATTTTCTGTTTTTATCATTCAGCTCATTCACTTTATGAGCTTTAGAGACACTACAGTGACCTGAGATTCTGAGTTCATCAATACTTCTTATACTTATAAGACAGCAGTATCACAGTGCAGTCTCTTCTTATAAGTAAGTATTTTCATTAAGAGAGTAACAGATTCAGGTGTTAGCTTTAAGACTCTTAAGAAGGCTGTTACTAACTCTGTCTGTAACTTCTCAAATTTCTATTTTAATTTATCTGAACAGTTTGTGTGAAGATGTTCTGATTTAGAATAGATAAAGCAGAGTCTCTTTTTCTTAATCTTTCTGTTATATACTCTGTTTATAAGAGCTTATGAAGCTCTCTCTCTCTACTCAGTAGTCAGATACAAATCTCTCTGTGTCTTATCATCTTTCTCTGATAAATCTGTTCTCTGTTATTCTGACTCTTATGAGACTGATCAGTGATCTGTTCTTCATAAGTCTATAACTCTCACAGTGATCTGTAAGTAATAAATAAGAGTCATCAGTTTCTTCAAAGTTAAGAATTTAAAGTCTTACTCAATGAGCTTATTCTGTATATCTTTATTCAGCTTCTTTATAAATATTATTATTCAGATCTTGTTTCAGAGCTCTGTTTTCACAGATCTTAATTTATATCATAATTTTATAAAATACTGTGAGTAGTTTTCATCAGATTTCTTATCTCTTTTTCTAATATTGATGATTACAGTTCAGATGTTCTCTGTTCAGCTCACAGAGTTTCTTAACTTATTCTTTAGATAGGTCTTAAGAACAGATCAGTGAGATCTCTTATAATCATTCTCTAGATAATTCAGTCAGTTCTTAACTTCAGTGTAATAAAGATCTGTCATTATATAGATAACAGCTTCTTCATCTTTTATATCACACAGCTGAGCTTGTGAGTCAATTTCAAATACAAACTTATAAAAGCTTTTATAAATTGTGATTTAATAAGTGATCTTAAGTAATTACAGCTTAAGAAAGTTTCTTTTCAGTTCACAGATATCTCTGAAGATCATGTCTACAGACTCAGTTTAAGAGTATTTACAGACAGTAAGTATTTCTTATAGAAAAATAGCTTAATCTTACAGAAGATGCTCAAGAATGTTCTTTACTAAGATTGATTTATTCATGAGTTCAGAGAATTTCTCTGTCACAGATGTAGAGAATAATATTTCATGAGTAATTGATAAGTTCTCTGAGACTTCTTTTACAGAGATTATTCATGATTTGAGTGACTGCTTCTGAGTGCCTGCAGTCAGGTTTACAGAGATTGAACTATACAAGTGTCTAGTTCTTTCAGTTATAACAGACAGTTACTGACTGACTGAGCTTGAAATATAAGAATAAGTACTCACAGGTGATTATTTGAGTATTTGCAGCTTGATGTGATATGTACTGTTAACTACTAGAAGTATTCACAGTAGAAAGATAAAATGTAGAAATTAAATATATAATAGTATTTAAGCTGAGTTATGAATAGTATTCATGAACTTCAGTCTATATAGTTGTGTGTAGTCAAGAGCCGCTAGCTCTATTGATTACATGAGAGATAGAAATAGAGGTAAAGAATTCGCAAGAAGCGGGATTTCTTACAAAGATCAGAATCAAACTTTATAGTTATTATATTGTCTAAAAGCATTACTTCTAATCATGATTTGTATTCATTACATTGATTTCAAATCACATTATTTCAAATATTAAAGATCTCAGATTCACTTTTTAAATAAAAATCTAGTTTTAGATAAAGAATATATTTGAGTTCTTAGTTATATTTTCATTCTGATCTCATTATTGAGAATAATACTAAAGAAGATTATAAAATTACTTCTCACTTTTATAATATTATAACATAGTGCTCATTTGTTGAAAATTTAATAGAGAGTATTATTAAATATTATTACTTTTCTAAATATAGATTATAATTCATATAATTTTAATTGTAAAAAAAATATAAAATATAAAAAAAAAAAAAAACAAAATAAAAACAAGAAAAAATCAGAATGAAAAAAAAAAGAGAAAGAAAAAAAAAATAAAAGAAAAAGAAAAAAATAAAAAATAAAAATAAAAAAAATCAAGATTACAGAACTGCAGTACTTTTAAAATACTTATTTCTCAGAGTCTTTATAATATTTATTATTAATTATATATCTCTTACAGTGAGAATAACACAGCTGTAATAAGTTATTATCTTAATATTATCTAATAAATAATCAGTATATATCTGTATAAATATGAATATTTAGAAAATATACACTTAAAAAGTGTGATTAGAGTGAACTCTGCTACTACTTGAATAACATTAAGAATAGAATACTGAAATTAATAATTTCTCTTATTAATTTCATGAATAAGATAGATAAAGATAATCTTGAAGAATATAAGATTCTCTGACTTCTGATAAAAACAGATCTCACAGAGAGACTCTGTTTTCATAATATTAAAGACTGAGTATTATTAAAAAGTGTTACTTTCATACAATGTATATATACTTACTGCAATGATTCATTCTCTGTATATATAACTGAGAGTTACAGCTAGACTGACCGTGTGACCGTGTCTGAAACCAGGACCAGATTTTTTGATAGTCTCATTATCAATTCGACTGATCTCATTACACAGTTTTAACATTAGATAGTAGTTTCATACTGTTTCAGTGAGACTTACTGTCTACTCTTATCACATTTTTCAAATAAGATCATGATTTTCACTTCTTAATTTAAATTATTTTTAATGCTTTAAATGACTTTAAATCTTATTTGAGTATTATCAAAAAGCGTTACTTTTTAAAAAATTAAAAATAGTCTAAAAAAAACCTTAAAATGTCTAAAAATAGTAACTTTATGTCAAGAATGAGACTAAATGAGATCATATGACATCACTTTCTCATTTTTTTCAAGTCATGGTTCCATTTTAAGATCTGATATATAGTCACTTTATCTGTTTTTTTGATAGCCAGTCCCAGCGGGATTCACGCCAAGAAATGTATGGGACCAGACCAAATGGGATCAAATGTGAAATTCATGGTCTCAGCGGCCAGTCTAGCTGTTGGTTATGTGCTTGATATTATCGCCGAGGTATCTTTTTGTATTTTTCTGCCGGGGATGGGCCAGATTAGGAAGGGCGGTACGAGGGTGGGACTTGGCGTTGGTGTTTTGAAACATCAAAGATGAACAGGGTTTTCACGGAGGTTGCTCCTCAGATATCTCCACAACTACAGATTGAGGATCTTCCAAAATCGAGAAGATTGGTGCATATGGCTAGGTCTCTTCACCTTACAATTTGTATGGCACTTTGGCCCGGGGTTGTGGTGTGGTAGGGGAGAATGGGGGATAATCCCACACAGGAGTTTCAAACGACGTCTGGTTCACGTTTGGCAGGATAACTCCACCACCACACGGGGTATGCGGTCGGCGATGGGGTCAAAATGCTCGTATGATCGAGGGCTTTTCGATGGATCTATCGGCGGGTTCTTATTCGAAAAATCGAGCGAGTTCGTGGTGGAGCGGTTTTGAGAGATGTATATCTCTGCAGTATTGAAACAGAACTTACATACATTGATTACAACTGAAAATCAGGTAAAACTACATACTTGTAAAACTGAATTTAACTGCTATCTTCAAGATAATCTGATGAATTTACATATCAAATCAATTCTAGAGTTATGAAAAATTGTTGAGAGTATATATTCAACTGTTGCACTGATGATATATGATATTCTAACAATTTCACTGACAGAGATAAGAATGAAGTGAAAGTTCAACTCAAGTCAAGATATTTATCACTATTATTGAGAATAATTACAAGAAGAAACAATCAAGAAACTCATAATTGTAAAATATGAAATTATCAGACAGTTTAATATCTCTGATCACAGTATATCAGAGAAGTGTAGTTTTCATAAGAAAGTGAAGAATAAACTTGTATAAGAATATATTTATTATTATTATTATTATTCTTTCATTATACTTCTATGCAAGCGGAGCTTATGATGAGTTCTTGCATGATGTTAAATACAGGCTAAGTGTTGATTATACAGGAGAAAATACAGGTGTTGAGACTATATCAAGATAACAAGAACATTGGAAATACAAAGAAGTGACAATTAAATACATGTGATAATCACTTCTCAGCTCAGGAACATAGAGTAATTTTATTGAAGTGATTTGTACACCTCTGTATTTATTAAAAACCTGAGGTGCTTGAGTTCCGGATTTAATGTATTCCCTGCGGGTTTCGAACTCACACGCCCTGGTTTCCCACATCAAGGCACTACTAAGTGGCCGTATTAACCATTCAGCCACCGGGGCATAAGAATGTATTTAGTTGTTTCATGAGTATTATCAATAATCATTATCAAATTCTGATTATATAAGCAATCACTGAATGAACTGAATGAGACTGATTTTAATCTTCAGTCTCAGTCTCATTCTGATTTTGAAAGAATGATCATCTTTCAAAGTTTATTCTGAGAAATTACTTTCATTTCACTGTTCTTGAATTAAATCTAATCATTTTTCATGCCATTTCTCTCATAAATGATTCATTTTCAGATTTTTTTGAGACTTGATCCTGGTGAGACTCATGCCAAGAAATGTATGAGATCAGATCAAATGAAATCAACTATGAAATTCATGATCCCAGCGGCCAGTTTAATTACAACTGATAATACTGTAAATAACTACACTATAATGAAGAGTAGACTGACCGTGTAACCGTGTCTGAGACTAGAATCAAACTTTACAGTTATTACATTGTCTAAAAGCATTACTTCTGATCATAATTTGTGTTTATTACATTGATTTCAAATGATGTTATTTCAAATATTAAAGATTTTAGATTCACTTTTGAAATAAAAATCTAGTTCTGAATAAAGAATATGTTTGAATTGTTAGTCATATTTTCATTCTGATTTCATTATTGAGAATGATATTAAATGAGATTATGAAATCACTTCTTACTTACATAATATTATAACATAGTACTCATTTATTGAAAATTCAACAGAGAATGTTATTAAATATTATTACTTTTCTAAACACAGATCATAATTTATATAAGTTTAATTATAAAAAAAATATAAAATATAAAAAAAAAACAAAAAACAAAAAATAAAATAAAAACAAGAAAAAATCAGAATAAATAAAAAAAAAAAAGAAGAAAGAAAAAAAAAAAGTAAAGAAAAAGAAAAAAATAAAAAATAAAAATAAAAAAAATAAAGATCACAGAGCTGTAGTATTTTTAAAATACTCACTTCTCAGAGTCTTTATAATATTTATTATTAACTGTATATCTCTCACAGTGAGAGTAACACAGCTGTGATAAGTCATTGTCTTAATATTATCTAATAAATAATCAGTATATATCTGTATAAATGTGAATATTTAGAAAACATAAACTTAAAAAGTGTAGTCAGAGTGAACTCTACTACCACTTGAATAGTATTAAGAGTAGAATGCTGAAATTAATGATTCTTCTCATTAATTTCACAGATAAGACAGATGAAGATAATTTTGAGAAATATAAGATTCTCTGACTTCTGATAAAAATGAATCTCACAGAGAGACTCTATTTTCATGATATCAGAGACTGAGTGTTATTAAAAAGCATTACTTTCATACAATGTATATACTCTTACTGCAATGATTCACTCTCTGTGCATGTGACTGAGAGTTACAGCTTTTTCACACTGTACAGCTCTCTCTGAGATGCTGATACTGATTTGCAACTCATGCAGTCTCTCAGTTCAGTATGTACTGTGTGTATACAGCTCCGTGTGCTGAGACTGTGTTAATCATTATGATCTGATATGATACTCACTTTTCACAGGTCATGTTTTATTTGAGAGAAGAGAAGGAAAAGACACAACTGTGATTTTATTAGAAGAAGATGAATAATTAGTAATATTAAATATAATTTGATTCTTCTGTATTTAAAATTTAATTAGTCTATACTCTTCAATTTGAGAGTTTCTAAGAGTGTTTTAATAGTTTTCATACCAGCTTGAACTTAGTGATGAGTTGAAGAAGAAGAGAAAAGAGAGAAGAAAGAAATGAGAATAACTTATCTTTATAATATGAAAATAAAGAATCACTGCAATCATTCTCTCTAGTAATAAAGATCTGTTTTCTGCATATATTTCTGATATAGATTATATAATAACTGCATACAAAGAATATCAACACTGTATATATTGAATGAAGATAATATTACTATGCAACACTGTAGCTGTTTCTGTATATCTCTGAAAGCTGTTAATATTTTCTTTGTCTCTTTATATTTGATAAGTCAGTAATATATTTCAATACACTCTTTCTTTCATCATCATCATCATTATTATCATTATTATTATTATTATTATTAACATCATTACTATCATTATCATCATTATCATCATTATTATCATTACTATTATTATCATTGTCATATCATTTCTAGCCATCTCTTCTGCCTTTACCTCTCTTCAACACTCACTGAAATAAATTATGTTATTTCTCTTCAAATATTCTGCAGTTCTGCAGATTATCAAGGCATGTGAGCACTGTCACAGATTGAAGAGAGAGAAGAAGAAGATATTTATACATGAAGAGACAGATTATAAGACATATTATAATGCCTTGAAGAGACTTTATAAGAAAGTAGAATGATAATAATTTTAAGTAATACTTCTGATAGATTTAGACTGAACTAAGTATAGAAATAATGCAGATGACACTGCCTGTGAGAGATTAAAGAAGAAGACAGTGAAGTGTCTTATACAGTAATAATGAGATCAGAAGAAGTTCTCAGAATGATTTAAGTTCAAGATAAAGAGAGAGAGAGAGAAGAAGAGTATTACTATAAATAAGCAGCAGTAGAAGAAGATTGAGAGAGTATTAAAGTAAGAGATAAAGAAGTTAAAACTGATAAGTTTTTTATTTATTGAGAGATAATGATTTTTAATAACACTTCTGTTCTCTAATTAATTAGCAGAAGTTGACAGAGAAGAAGAGAATTAAGGTCTTATTCAGATCTTGAATACACTTCATGATTCAGAATATTGAGAAGACAGCTCTGCTCTCTGAGCATGTCAATCTACTTACTACTGAGATGAAACCTGAGGCAGCAGACCAGGAAATGTGGGATTTTGAGATGCAGATTGATCTGGCTGAGAGAGAGCAGTGAGAACTCTTCTCTGAGAAGGCAGCAGAGAAAGATTTTGAGATAATTATTATCTCAGATGAGAAGAAGAAGAAGAAGAAGAATGAGAAGTGAATTGTGAAGAATGATAAAAAGAATAAGAAAGATAAGAAGTAGATTTTTTTCTTGTTATATTAGTTAGTTATAAGTTTAAGTTCATAATTATTAATAATGAAAATTGATTTTGAGTTTTCAAAAATTATTGTACAAGTTGTAATCAAGTTAGGAATGATATATATATATATATATATTTAACTATCATGATTCACAAATCACTATAATGTATAAGTATCAACATTTTTTCAACATTGATATTCATAATATTAATATATTTTTAATAATATTATCTGATAATACAATTTGATAATACTCTCTTTCACAATATTAATATATTTCAAGAAATATGACAGAGATTAATCAAGATTGTTTATTTACTTTTATACATTAATGATATTCAATCTGAGTTAGTACTAAAATTATAACTAAGCTAAGAAACAAGATTATTTTCTCTTATATTAATTCTTCTTACACACATCAGTGATTAGTTATTGAAAATAAATTATTATCTTTCTTAAATTATTATCATGTCTTCTGAATTCACTTCTCTCACTTCTTTTACTTCTATTAAAGATTTATAAACTCTTCAAGAAATCACTGTAAATTACAAAGTCTATATTATTTACAATTCAATACAGAATGCTCTTTTTCAATTATAATAAATAATCACTTCATTCTTCATATCTGATTCCAGGTCATGAAATTTATAAAAAACTCAATACAAATATTGAGATGAACTATGAAATAATTATCAACAGATTGTATTACAGATTACTGAAGAGTTATTTCTCTGCTACAATCACTGCAACTTCATTCAGAAACATTCATTATAAACTGATTATATCTCTGAAGAAATTTTCTGACATCTGAAGTCATCAGAATACAGATAATAAAAGAAAAATAATCAGAAAATTACTACTGAGCTGATAAGTTACTCTATTAGATAATGATTTTTGATAACACTAACTTTCTAATTTGAAGGAAATTATGTGAAAATGATCATATATCAGTACTCTGATTTCACAACTCTCATCTGATAACTTGCATGAATAATTACTTCATATGTGTATATCTCTGAATCTTTCTCTTCAATCAATTGAAAACCCCGAATTTCAAACACTTCTTCAAATACTTAATTCAAATCTTCATATTTCACATTGATTCTGCCTTCAGTTCAACCTTGACATATACTACAAAGTCAATATACAATATCTAAAATCAGAGTTGAAGAATTATTGAAGAGTGTCTCTTACAGTGAATGTATAAACTAGTACAAATAATCTTACATTTATAAGAGTTTCATATTATTACATTGATGAGAACTGAACATATTAAGAGACATTAATTGAATTTGAATCATTGATCAGTAGTCATACTGAGAATTATATAACAGAGATATTAATAACTGTGATTCAAAATGACTATTGAGATATTAGTCTCAGTCTTCTTATAATTAC